AGCAGGAATCTCAAAGACTCTTAGGGATCATCCAAGTCAGCCCATGCCTTCTGAGAAGTGACAGAAAAATCAGGAGCTTTTTACACCATGAGTAGATTGCTGAGAACAGGCAGGACAGAGTTGCTGTGCCCACAGGTCTTCCAACACAACTGAGAATGGCAGCAAACACCCATAAGTAATCACTGTTCTCTGCGAGTATCCTCCCTCTTTTATAGATGAGGTGAGGGCAAGCTACTTCTCATTCAATTCTCCCAAACCTCTGCCTCATTTAACGCACCTTTTCCAAACAAATCTTGAAGTGGTTATACATTACAGAGATCTAGAACAAAAAGAAACAACTCTCCTGAAGTATATGGCATGAGCAGTTTTGGAAGAGACTAAGGCTGGCAAATCCTTGGGTGGGTGGTTTATGGACAAAGTACTAGTCCCTAGGGCCATTTCAGACAAACTGGCTTTCCACCTCGTACTTGATTCATGTTTCTTCAGGTTCATACATTTTACCAGACTTGTGCTCTGCTTAAACGGAAACTTGGGTTGACTTAGGGATCCAAAGAAGTTTGGGCCTTAGCTTGGGAGTGCCTAGCTCTGAGGAAGAGCAACCCCACGGGCGAGGAGGTGACCAAAAGCCGGGGCCTTACGTTGCTGAGGATGTTGCGGTGCAGGGCTGTGCCGTGGATGTTGGAGCTCTCCGTGTTCCACAGACGGATGGTGTTGTCAGAGGAGCAGGTGATGAAGGAGCCAGGGGGCAGGCAGGACTGATTGTTGTCCTTCACCTCTGGATACATCTAAGGGCAGGTAAAATCGACTCCTGAATGAGCTTGCCTAGCACCAGGCATTCTAGATGCTGACAGCAAGTTTGAAAACCAAATGAGATAAAAGGGCTGTCCTCTCTGGTTTGTGAAGGGGAGAGCCAGCCATTTCTACTGAAAACCTGTTTGCAGACCACACTTCAAACAAATGCTGAGCTTCCCTGAATGTCAAACATCTCCTTAAGTGTGCAACAAGCCAGCAGCCTTTGTTTCCAACAGTTCAAAGCAAGCACTTCAAAGACCACTCAACAACGACCAAGTAACAACAATCTGCACTGTTGTCTGCAACTTCAAACTACTACTGTTGATTTAGAATCCAGAAGAAAAGGGTGAGATGCAATTAATAAATAGTAACAAAAAACAGTCCTCAGCCACTTTATTTCCATCTCCCCCTTTCCTCACCACTGTTGGACATACTTCAATATATTAACACTGTTTCCTATACCTCCTTTCCTTCCCTCTGAGGGAAAACCAACTAGACAGACTGGAAGCTGACAGCCATTTCAGACGCTAATTCCAGATATCCTGGAACAGGTTAAGAAGGATCAGAGTTAAAACCTCAGCACTTGTTTCACTCCTCTCACTTTGCAGCACTTGCTCACCACAGACTTGAAACAATTTTTTTTTGAGGTCAGCAGTGAAGAAAGTCATGTGCATTTTGTGAAAGGAGCTGCTGCATTCAGCCTTGTCCAGTTCTGCTCCTTCTCTCACCTTTCAAGGGTGAGATTTTTTTTCCAGTAACACACCCCATCTAACACATTTGGTCATCTATTGCCATGCAGCCAAATAACTGCTCCCAGCCCCAACTCCAGCCTTGCAGCAACCACACTAACCACAGGAGGAAATCTGAATCAACTCCTGTTCTCTGCAGTAACTGTTTGCATTCAAATCTGGCATCTCTTCAGACAACTTCCTAGCTGCAACTCGCAGCCCGACACTTGTGTCTGCAGCCAACATACCTCAATGTTCCAGACGCAGGAGGAGTGGTACAAAGCAGAGTACACCTTGCCCACTTTCTTTGGGTCCTTGACGTCCCACACGTAGAGGCTGTGGTCGTTGTACACACAGGAGAGCCACTGGTTGGTGGGGTCGAAGGTCAAGGCAATGGTGTCTGGATACTTTGCATCAGCCATACCAGAGAACAGACGACTGCACCAAGAGAGAACAGCAGCCTGGTTAACTTGCACTCTCTTGAGTCGGAGTGAGGAGGTGAAGAGTGAGAACTCAGCCCCTCCACAGGGTGCTGGCAGGGTGAACAACACACTGTGGCATATATAGGTATAGAGAATAGCTGGCTGGGAAGACCAGAGTCCCAAAAGAAGCCTCAAAGTCCTATGGCAAAAGTCACTCTCCTTGCCATCCAACTCTGACTCCCACCACAGACAGACTTTCCCTGAATAACCAAACAGGACATTTGATCATATTGGAGAACATCAACATTTACCCCTGCATAACCAGGTAGTAAAATTCAAGTCAAATAATCTCAAAACAAAGGGGAGGGAAAGGCTCAGCTTTTGGTGGGTACTATAGTTTGTTTACTGACTGCAGGAACTACTCTTGTGTGGGACCAGGCAGGAGAGCAAGTACTGCACTCAAAAGACAGGAGCATACCAGCACAAGGGACAAAAGAACGATCCATTTCAGCTGCCACTTGTCTGATGTCCTTCCCTTCCACCCCCATCCCCACAGACCAGCCTGGGGCTGCCTGCAGCAGCTCACGAGATGGGCAGCTGCAGATGGGTTACAGTCCTTTCCCGAGAGGAAATAGTTTCTCTGATGGAAACTTAAAACCAGAGGAATTCTGGAGAAGGAGGAAACACCTCTGTCCCCAGGTTAGACCAAGATCACACCACATGAACCCTGTATCTCCTCTACAGTGGTCCTCTGTTAAGCCCTGTTGCTGTGCACACAAAGAAGGAGCTGTTCTCCTGCCCTGAGGTGAACACAGCCTTCCCACAAGGCTGCTAATGGCATCAAGAGTGCCAGGGTGTTGAGAGCAGGTAATGTGAAGGGACTGATGAAGATGCAGGGATGAGGGTCAAAGCATGTGTGGCACACCAGACAACTGGAGCCCTGCTTCTACAAGTGCCAGGCTTTGAGGACCAGAAGAAAGCAGCACAGATCCTACTGAAAAATCAAATCATTGGTATAGTTTTGGGCAGCTCAGTGCGAGTGACTGGCATGCCACAGAAAGGCTCTGGCATGCATGGAAATAAGGAGTCCTGTGTTTTCAGGCTTCTTTGGAAGTAATAATAAAAAAAGGAAATTGTTCTTCAGATTGTAATTGGCACTACAAATGCATGTTTAAGAATCACATCCCTATTTCTGCTCAACTGATGCATGAGAGCAGCAGAGATGATTTTTAAAGGGACCACGCATACAATTGCTTGACTTCAGACACTGATAAGATTTTAAATTCAGAGAGTTCCTTTCCCTGCTCCTTCACTGCAACATCATTCTCTCCCACTGATCTGGAGGAGGACTATGCAGCGCACTGGTTGAAGCCTTACCTCCAGTTCCCAAGAAAAGTTTAAAGAAAACCTGTTGGGACATAAGGGGGAAAGAAAAGAGGGGAAAAAAAAAAAAAAGGCCCCCAAAGAGACTATATATATCTGTAGAGTTGGGATTTCCAGATACCCAGTAGAATGAGGGCTGGTGGATTCATATACCTTTGGATTTCTCTCCCCACTAATGACAGAAGTAAAAAGGGCAACAGAAGAAGGAATGCCTTCAACCAGGGCTGGCAAAGAGCAACACACAAGGGCTTTCTCTAGCACAAGCCTCCACCAGCTGGCAGGCAGAACTGTATGGAACTCACATCACCCACCTCAGGAGGTGAAAAACAGGGAGTCAAGGCAGAACATACTGGAGCAAGGTAGGAAAACAAGACAACAGAACGCACAGCACTGAGGGAGAAGAAAGATGACAGATAATACAGACAAGAGGGAGATGAGGAGCAAGACATACTGTGTAGTCCAGCAGCCAGCCTTGGGCTGCAGCCCAGCCACGCAAGGCAAGGCTGCAACAGCTCAGGGAGATCTGCCTCAGGCTGCCAAACTGAACCCATAAAAAAGAGCCCGCGGCAGATGGCGACGGTGCGGGGAGCAGCGCCAGCCCCCAGAAGCCTGCCTGGCTCCCTCCCACCCCCTGGGCCCTACCTGGCCTCGGTGACACTGGCGATGTCGGTGCCCAGGAAGTGGGGCTTGGGCAGCGTGGTGACAAAGTGGAGGTTCAGGGGGTTGAAGAGCCGCACGGTGCCGTCGGCGCAGCCGCAGAAGATGTAGTCGTGGTTCACGGAGATGCAGTTTGCCACGGTGGTCTGAGGAGGACACAGCACACAAGGAGGACAATGAGCAACGGGCTCTCCCTTTCCAAGGTCACCAGACACATGACAGGGAGAAGAGCAAACTGACAGACAGAGGAGCCATGGTCGGACGAGCTGAAGTGAAGTGGAGCCCTGGGAGTAAGGAAAAGCGTAAAAAAATCCATTTTTCCTTTCTGAGGAGCTTCCCAGACAAGGTCCGTTGCAGATTCCAGCTCCTCTGCCACCCGCTGCCATGGGAAGTAAACAGAGACACACATTTCCAACAGCTGAGTCTTACTCTTAGCATTGTTTTTTGTTCCTCTCTGACACTCAGCACCACTGGCAGACGAGCAGCACCTCACCCTGTACTAGCAATGCCAATACATTACCTGTCACAAGGGGATAAGAAGAGAAAAAAAAATGGATTTTCTTCCCTTCTCGCTGGGGTTTGTACATATGGCAGAAAGATGGTACAAAATGGAGTGTGGTGATAACGGGATGAGTTCAATGCAAAACTTTTTTTCCAACTTACTGTGAAGCTGTCTGTATTCTGAGCGAGAGTGAAAGGCAAATTTTAGAGAGGAAAGGAAAGAAAAGAAGAGGAATTTCACTTGAATGAAAGCGTGGAAAGATTTTTCCCTTGATTTAAATACATTGGATCCTTTCAGGTGGGCATGTAACACTCAATTGAAAGGAAAATAAGCATGATCAAACCCTTAATTATGCACCAACCTGGGGGTCCAGACTAGCCCAACCAACCACTACCTTGGGAACCTGCATTTGAGATGCACAAGCCAAGTAAGACACTGCAGAGTGGATAGAAATCAGAATCCTTCTAAAAAACTCCCACTTGTCCAGGCCAAATCAGGAGGAACACCACCAGGATGGCCACAGTTACATAAGGACAGCACTTTGCCAGAGGAGCAGCAGCTGTAACGCTGAGGCTTGAAAGAGCCTCAATGATTAATAAAATCCCTTTGCCAAGAAGCAATGCTATTTTTGCTTGGCCTTCCAGAGTAAACCACAAAGTGGCAGAGGCCCAACGACTTCCACTGCTGGTGGTCCAGCATCTTGTGCTCCTAGTGCCTTTATTATTTGTCGTTCCTGCTTTGCTCCAGGAGGCACAAATATTGCAGGACAGGAGGATGTAAAACTCACCCTCAGCTCCACCCACTTGTCTAGCAGCCTTTTTTCATTGAATTCACAGAGCAGGCCCGAGGATGTGATACAGAAGGTGCTGTCAGCTTTTTTGCCTCTTCCACAAGCCACGTCTGCAAAGAAGTTGTTCCTCAGCTCTCCGAGCAACCCCGAGCGACCCAGCAGGGGCACTGTGGCATTGACCTACCAATAAAAAACAGGTTGTCAGAGGCAGAGTGAGGCACTCCAGGCACACAGACGTTATTTAGAACATTGATCCTCGAGTGCTGAAATGCCTCAAAAGAAGAGAGCTGCCAGCAGCTGACTAGGAGAGGCAGCGACACAGAGCTGTATCAGTGTATTGGGACCACCAGTGTTAGCATGTCAGTGGGACAGAATGTTATTATTAGTGCCACCAAAACTGTGCATCCAAATGTATGACCCAGAGACAGTCAATCAATCACTAGAAGAACAGCCCTTCCACGGCCAATCTGTGATTATGCCAAATGTCAAAGCAGGGGCCAAGCACGGAGTAGGAACATCTGTTTGTAAGCACGCAGAAAAATGATCGTATGTGGATTCTAACCCCCAGAGAAGAATAAAACAGCTGAAAGTTTAAACACCTTAACTGATGCTTCAAAATTACACTCGCAGCCTTTTGAGATGCTCATACCAACATCAGCTCCCTTCACCTCTGTGCTCCAAGGAGTTCAATGACTGCAGCTCTTCTCTATTTTTTTTT